AGATGCCAAAAATCAGGACACATTTTATAAATTGTCTTTTGCTACTTTTACAGTCACTTCCACAATTCTGGAATTAATTGTGATCTTATTTTTTTTAATGCAGAAAGACAAATCTTAATTTGTAACAGGGCACTAGAGCTCATGACTCAGGAATCACTTCATCATGACTATAAATATTCAGCCCTGAAACAAATAGCCCATGTTCCTTTTCATGTACTTGAATGGCCAGTGTCAGCTTCACAGGAGAAATGCTGTCAGATCTTTATTTGGGTTATTTTTGCCCTCAAATTATCTTGTAGGGTGGGGATTTTTTTATTAATTTAAGACATAAGAAAACTATGTTGTGTGTCATGCTTTTAGAAAAATGGTTTTCAATAACTCATGCAGATTTCCTGTGTAATAGTGGTTAGAAATACATTTTAAAGTTTCATATTGATATATTAAAGGGAACATAACAGAACTGTGAAATGAGAAATCCTCAGATGGTCCAAGGCCAGGCTTTGACCCTCTCTTTTGTGTAGCCAGCATGGCACACCTCACCCCAGCAACCTTGAGGTTCAGACATGGTCAGGATCTTTGATTCTCCTGCAAGAAAATGAAAAGGTTTAATCCTTTCCTGTGCCTTCTGGCATACTGAAAACCATAGTAAATCTTCCTGCAGCTACAACCACAAAAGCAATGCTGCATCTAGAATTTCCGGTGGGAGGAAAAAAAAAAAGAAATGGTTCAAGAACTTCTCCCTCTGACCAAGTTCTGCTGCATTTATTACTTTCACTCAAACTCACATGTGATTTGCATCAGTGAGATTTTGGGGTGCACTTCTTTTTGTCTGCAAGTAAGACATGACTTCAGATAAATATGTCTTGTAGTTCTGTAGACATCCCAAGACTCCTGACAGGAAATGAGGGCATCCCTTATAGGCCTCGAAATCCTAGAAGCTTTGTAGATTGTAGGAAATCCACTGGAAATCAGGACAGTTGTAAATCCTTAGTTTCTCAACTTGTCTGTCAGGCAAAGTGCCACCAGTGTCAGCAATTGCCAAGATCTCTGCAGCAGCCGTGTTGCCAACACAAAAGATGCAAAAATCAGTCTTTCCCCTTCTCTTTTCCCTCTCCCCTCATGACAAGGTTGCTATTTTAAAAACACATCCTTTTGGCTCTTTTATTTGCCTTCGGTTTTTGAAAGGAAGATTTCCTTTCTTTCTGTTTTAAAGCAATGACTAGGGCTAAGAAGTTGCCTTTTTTAATAGTTCTCACATGTTCAGTTGAGCCTACACAACTCAGTAATACCTGTTCTCTCCTTTTTAGGTAACCATCCCACTACATTGCGGGTGGTCACCAGAGGGACTTCTGCTTCTGACTCCCCAGAAAATGAAAGGGAAAAATAACATACTGTCCTTCTCTCCATGGCAAAAGCCCCAAAGACCATGAAAGTTTGTGGAAATGCAGATAAGCTGACTAAAAATAGAGTTTGCTGAATACCATAAATTGCTTCTGGTTTTGGCAGCAGATACACCAGACTTCTGGTATTGGTTACGCTCCTCTTACACAAGTCGTTGTTAGGGCTTTTATTTAGGATGCTAAAGATGGTGCCCTGGTTTCTTCCCTGCCTGTGGGTTTTCTACTGGTACCCACTGGTACAGAGTCCCAGCTTCCAAACTACTGAGATTCTGGTTTCTAGCCATTGGTTATTGAATTACTTATACAAATCAGAAACATTTTAAGAGACAAAATCTAAAGTATCCCTCCTTTGGGAAAAGGATAGATACAGTAATATTGTAGGAAGAGGAAATACAGGGTAGGATCCTTTGGAACTGATGAAGAAATTGTCTTAGTATGTCCCACAGCCCAGGAGAGAGCTCAGATGTCTGAGCTACATTGTTATCAAGTGAATTAAATAGAAGTTGTGTACACTTACATATGCTGTAAAATATGACACTTAATACTCTGCGTGCCTGGAAGTCTGAGGGTTAGCCCCACCTAGTCAGCTTTCAGATGGATTGTGTTTCACTTAGATTTTACTGACACAGTCAGTTCTGCCAGAAAACACAGAGGTCCTGATGTACAGTAACTTAAAAACTGGAAAATAACTCAGTCAAGACACGAGATTTTACAGTAATTGTTACAGTTCTTTCAGCCTTAGTTTGTTGTTCAAAGAGTTAAATAGTTCAAAGGCAGTTTCCTTTGGAGAATGTTTATTTGATCAAGTTCAGTGTGGCTTAGACCCCAAATAGAAATACCAACTTCAAACAGAGCACTGCTATGAGAGAAGGAATAGTCTGTGGCCTTCCAGACCTCACAAGCTATGTTGGTTTGTTACACAGAGTAAAAAAAATGTCCTTTAGAACAGATATACATTAACTCAGTGTATTTCACACACCACATCTTTTATCTCCCATCTGCTTCTCTCCCTGGTCCTTTGAGCCATTACAAAGTGACTGATATCCTGAATGAACTACAGACTCCTCAGTGAGAAGCATATACAGTGTGATTGGATCATCCAAGCTATTTAGTTTATTAGAGAATGTTCGAGGAGCTGCTGCTCCTGTTTACTAAATCTGAAATACTACCTCCTTTGGATTTTGGAACAGTGCTTATCTTTGCTTCTTGGTTCACTTTACATTTCAGGAAGCAGGGTGGGGGAGAGCCCAGTGGGTGCTTCTCTTAGATGGAGCCTGGAAAATCTTGTTGACTGAGGCGCATTGTTTTGTTTCTTCAGGTCCTTAGCTGGCTGAATCTTCAGACTTCTAATAAATGTACTAAGCCTTAAAAAAGCATTATTAATGCATGATGAGATACACCAAGTTCAGCCACTGAACATGAGAGTGGAACCCATGCAAATGCTGTTAGTGCAGGAGCCTGATATCGGGCCAAATCTGGAAAGTCATCTTTGATCTGTCTCCAGATCCTCCTTTTATTTGTAAACATCCAGCTAATCACAGACTTCCTCTGACTTTGATGAAGTGGAAGGAGCCGCATCCTCTGTGAGCTCTGGGCAGGGCTGGAATTCTGCAGAGGCTCAGGATGCGGGGCTGGGGGTTCCAGCGCCATCTCGTGGCTCGCTGGGAACGCGCCTGTCCCTATTCCCTATTCCCAGGGCTGGAATGCTCCAGTGTGCTGGGAGGAGGGTGAAGCAGATCCTCCCGCAGCTGTGCATCCCCAAACAGCCTCTGTGCTTAGGGCAGCTGGGCGATTTTAGAGTCTGCGAGGAGGGCACAAGGTTTTATCTCTGATCTCCCTTCCTGTGGGCTGCAGGCGCTCGGCAGTGCCGGCAGCTCTGTGTGCGCTACACCCCACCACAGTTGGCACTGATTAGCAGTGTTTCTGCTGTCTCATCGGAAAAATGTGATTTAATATTCACAGGCAGCCCACCTTCCCGCACTCAGAGGTGGTCCCACACAGCACAGCCCATGTATTTGAGGGGGGTGGTGGAATGAAGCTCAGTCGTGTGTGTGAGTTGTCTATGATTTGCAAATGACAGAGATTTTGGATTGCAAAGTGCAGGCAGGCATGGTAATGAACAGCCATGGTAAACATCGATGTTGCTTGGGGAAAAGCAGTGCTCACATGCATACTGTAGTTGGAACACCCTTTTTTGTTAGTTTACCAAAAAAAAAAAAAAAAAAAAAAAGGAAAGAAAAAAAAAAATATGGTACTTCCTGACTTCTGAGCTAGTCATGTTAGAGTTACTTTGCAATAACAGCACCAGTACAGTGAATTCCCCTCCAAGATTTTAAAAATGTGGTAGGCAGACACATGGCCTGTCAGAACCAGCAGCACTTTGAAGGTAGCAGTTTGCCCAAGGCCTGTTTCCCCTGTTCACATCGCCCTCATGACACAAAACAAAAATCTTTGGTCCCAGCTGGCCTTTTTGTCCACCTTAAGTATGTGACATGGCATAGAGGGTAGATAAGGTACCAGACAAGCCTGAGCCTGGCACATGCAGTGAGTGAGGGCCTGGCCACGGTGCACACCGAGGTGTGGAGCATCACTTGAGGCTTTCCTCTCAAAGGTGTGCCAGGAAATTCAGCCCTGAGCTGGCCTTGAGGATGCTTTGGCAGGTAAGTAATGCAAAGAGCTGCTAAACCTGGCTTCATGTGCAGCCTCTGCAGTGTAGACACAACCACTTGGGCCAGGGCTGTCACAGCCTCATAGAAACACCAAGTTTACCCAGAAGTGACACAGTTGTATACTTTGTACAATGTGATTCACATATCCAGAGAAAGAACTCAGTGTGCAAAAAAATTCCCAACAACCCTGAGGATTGTCCTCCAAACTTACATCCATGCATTTCCAGTTTCTTGACTGTTCCTGTCGGACACAAAGGTGCTCATATTTGTCATGAACTAGTGTGATTGAAAGAGACTTAAAGAAATTGTAAATATATATAATTTATCTGCATTTAACCTAAAATAAGAATTTGGTGTGTGTGTGGAGGTGTGTGTGTTGAGTAAATCCATAACAGTTACCTCTGAGTTGGGCAAGATAAAAAACGTTTTACAACCAAAAGTACAGTCAAATATGAAGCAGTGAGAAGTATTCCAGAGTGGGGGTGTTCCAAGCTATGAGTGGCTGAAGGGAAATAATACTTGTGCGATTTTTTGACCATCCAGTAAGCCAAGTCATAAACCACTGCTGGAAAGTAACACATACAGTATAAAAAAATATTTCTGGGAGGCTTGGGAAGTGAAGTTTTTCTTCAGCAAATCTGTAGGTGTTTCGAAAAAGAAGGCAAAGGAAAAAGAAGCAAAAGTTTCTGAAACAAGATGACAACATTGTTTAAGGTCCTGTTCTGGTGGGGTAAGGGTTGAAGGAAATGTATGGCTTTTTAAAAGAGTTCCTGACTCTGGTGGGTGCTCTGAATATAACTGAAGGATGGGTATTTAGAGCAAAACCACACATGGTGAGGTGGGAGGGACCACATCGTGCTAGCAAATACAGTACTGCAGTGCGGGCTTCTGACTTTTAATATTTTTCTTGCATTTCTTTTCTGCATGGCAGTAGTGAAATAGGGACTTCTAAGCTTCTGAACAACTGAGAGAACCAGATTTGGAGAAGACATGAGGAAGAACTGGTCGACAAAAGATTTCATAAAAACTCAGAACCTCGTGTGCCAGATCTGAATTGGCACCACCTTTGCTTTTTTGACATACTGCAGCAGTCGCAAAAGGCACCAAAGCAGTCAAATTAGAACATGCAGTAAAAGTTGTTTTGGACTCTTCTATGTATTAGAAATCCTACTTCCTTGTGACTATTACTTACAGCTGTAAAAAACAAATTCCAAGTCTTTCATGGAGCAGACAGCCAAAAGAGGCAGATGCCAGGTGTTAAGGGCTGCACTGAAATGAATTTGCAAAATTTCTATTCACATGCTGGAGTGCTCCTTTCTTGAAATGAGGCTTCTTAGAGTTGCTGTCAAAAACTCTGTAGATTTTTTAGTTCAAACATTACAAGCGTATACTCATGCACAATGCTAAACTATCAAGTGTTTAAAAAAAAAAAAAAAAAGAGTAAGAGGTGAAAAAAAGGAATCTTAAAAACTGAGGACTGAGGGTCCCTGAGGAAGGACAGGATGGTGAGAGATCCAGCTGACTTGATTTCCCCTGCTGCCATGATCATCATTTGCAAGCTGAAGAGGACCTTCCATGGAGCACTGTGCTTGTATGTGGAGAGTAAAGAAATGGTGCTCTGGTCTTTTAAAAAGAATGGTGAAAATTTTTTACCAACAAGGAGATGAGTAAATGTGAAATAATCTTCACAGGGCACAGGGTGCACCTTGTTCTGGAGCTAAGCCTTGCAAAAGCTGGCTTGGAGAATCAGGCATTCATGTTCAGATTTGAGCATTTTAGGAATGCTAATGTTTCCAGCTAAATTAATGGAGGGGAGGCGGAAAACCTTAACCAAAAAAGCAATAAGGCAGTAAATTTTCCAAATTAGGGCAAGCATGAATTATAAAAATAATTTCTTCTGCTTCCCCTCAGACAACAGTGGATCAAATTAAGACATGTAAACAGACTAAACATGCTGATTATATTCTGCTGTAGTTACGTATCTTACTAATTCTACTCATGATTATAAAAGGATGTTTCATTGTTCACTATAACTGTTATCTCAAGAGGAGTCTGTCTATAATTTTATTTATAATTGGCATCATTTTCATTACTGTTGTTACAAAGTGTGTACAATATTGTCTGTATTGCAGCTTGTATAGGGCATGTGTCTGTGCTTGCTTTACTCTTTTTGAGTTTATAAAGTTACTATACAAATGCAAGAAAAGATGTTCAGATATCTTTGAATGTGGTTGCTCAATCTAATTAAGTAGCCCCCAGTGTTTCAGCATATAAATGTTGAAGGTGTCAGCCCTATTAACACATAACACCTTAAACATAAATGTAGGTATTTGAAAAGCCTCCAGTGCAGCACTGGAATGCTGACACTTCAGTCCCAGTGGCTGTATGAAGTGAAGGGGAGGATGGTGAATATCAAAGCTGGATAGCTCTGGGGACTCTTCAGGGAGAAGGCACAAGATATCTGAGAGCAAATGAGATGTCCTTTCTATAGAAAACATGAAGGACCTTAAGAGTAGGACCACCACAAAGCAGAGGAGAGAAGGGAATACATTTATAGCATCGCCTTCAACAGTATACAAAGCGTAGGATATCTAGAACAGGCTGCAACTGTTCTGTAATTTAGCTATTCCAGTCTATGCAGAGTATCAGTAAAGACATTCCAGGTTAGTTATCATCATCTTTAAAGCTTATTCTGTGCTTTGCAACAGTATCTTTAATAAAATACTCTTACAAATCTGCTTATTATTCTCATTTAATTCCATCTTATACCTGAGTTGTTAACAGTCCTGGCAACAGGGTGAAGTTACCACCTGCTTCATCAGCTCCTGTGTTTTTCCCATTCACCTGCTAATGACAAGAGGGAAAACAGAGATGAATAATTATCAAATATTCATAGAAATAAGAAAACAAGAGGAATAATAGCATGCTACCATTCAATTATTATAAAACTTGTTCACACTAAGCACATCAGTAAATCTGAGACATTAATCACATACTGATCTCAGAGTAAGAAGTATTGGTCTTTGCTGGGTTTACAGTACACCATTTATCTTGTTTAAGACTTAGCATAATTTTCCAGCCTTACAGTTACTGCCAATAATTGCAGTATGTTGTTTAACCCCATCACAGCAGTTCTAGATAAAATTCTCTGTTTTCATTTATTTACTCCCTGAACCATATAGTGTATCCTTTTAATATCTTCAAATAAGACCAAGCAGAATTCAGGTACATTAACAGATAAGATTAGAATTCAGAATAATTCTGGCAAGGTGCAGATGGAATCTGAAAACATATTTAATAGGAAAAAGTGCAAGCTGGAACCATTAGCTGTGCAAGTAAAGGAACAGCTGCTTAATTTCATAGAATCCTAGAATGGTTTGGGTTGGAAAGGACCTTAAAGATCATCTCATTCCAGCACCCCTGCTATGGGCAGGGACACCTTTCACTATCCCAGGTTGCTCAGAGCCCCATCCAGCCTGGCCTTGAACACTCTACCACAGCTGCTCTGGGCAACCTGAGCCAGGGCCTCAGTAGCATCACAGTCAAGGATTTCTTCCTAATACCTAAACTAAATCTTACCCTTTCAATTTCAATTGAAAATAATCAATGCATTATTTTGGATCATATTCTAAAAATTAATCTGCAACATCATGATGTTGCAAATAAAGGTAAAAACTGAAATGTAGATTCTAGAGTATCATCTTCTCCTTCAGAACCACTAAGGCAAGAGCTGGTAATGTCTCCAGTTTTGAGCATAGCACTTGAAAGCTAAGATACAAGGTGCATGCACAGAATCCAGGAGAAAGCAGTGAATGTCTGGAAACCAAGAAGATTTTTCTTCTGAGCACAGGTTGAGTGATTTTAAGTCATTTTACAGAAAAGATGATGGAGGGAGAACACAGTGATTTTCATATACAAAATCTGTTTGCAAAGAAAAATGGCACAACTGTTTCTCATATCCACAGTGAATATGAATAAAAATAATTGCCTTAAATTGAAAGAAAGGAATCTTGGTTAAACACGAAATGGGACAAAATGAGCTGTTGAGGTCCTTGTTTGATCTGATTCTGTGATTACTGGAAAACATTTTGCTTTGAAGTCACTTTCTTAGGACTGTCAGTAGAGCTGGTACTGGCTGCAAGAAAAGGAGGCTGCAGTTAAAGGAATAAAGAACTCATTGCCTAAAATGTGCAGCACACCAGTTTATCTAGTCAGCACTAGTGATACTAACTTCAGCTTTTAATCATGCCTCAGCAAACTGTCATAAGTCTATGTAAATAAATGTGCTTAAAAACCACTTAATTATAAAATAATTATTCCTTGAAGCATCACACATTAGCTTAATCAGTGTTGACAACTTCCATGATTTTATTGAGTCTAATCAATCTGAGGCAGCCTGGTTTCAACTGCAAGATAGTGTAATGAGCTATTTTATTTATTAAAAAAAAAATAAATTAGACCTATGAATTACATGGAAAATCCTAAAAGTGTAATCTGAAAATATAGTAAAGATGAAAAAGTCAGAAGGTGAAAAAAGCCACTAGGTTTATGATTTTAGGAGATCTGACTCACAAGTTTTGAACTTCTGATTTGGCAGTATGGAATTACAGTACCCTATATTCTGCTGTTCTGAATATTTTCAGAGTACTGATCACACATTTGTTTAATTTGCCCAAAAATATGTTATACAGATTTGCAGAAACTTTGTTTGTTATTCACAAACACAAAGGAACACTTATTTAAGTAAGATGATGTCTTGTGGCTGCCCTTTAAATTAACAAGGAGCAGCTGTGCACAAAACCTGGAGGTATATAAATACAAAATAAGTTACATAGTTTCCCCCACATACACTATGATTTTTAATGCAACACCTTGTTAGAAGAATCTTGGCATTTTATACACTGGTAGTTCTTGTTTGAATTCCAAGTACCAGACATCTGTTCACAAATAAGACAAGATGAAGAATTTCAGTAATGAAAAGGTATTGTGACAGAGTATTACTTGATCTTAGAATAGCAGTGGCTTAGACTTTTCTGACAGTGATTACTTGATCTTAGAATAGCAGTGGCTTAGACTTTTCTGAACTGATTGCTGTATTATAAAATAACCCATTCTCACCACTACAATCTGATTATGCAATTTTTGGGATAGTTTTACAAGGGAAATGGGTATTAGGGAAATGGATACGAGGGAAATTGATACCAGAATTGAAGGTCTAAGGTCTTCTGACTGCCAAACCTGAAAAAGTTATTCATTGCATTTCAACTTTATGATCCAAGTGGCTTATTGAACTGTAACTTGGGTTCAGTCCTATTTTTATACTACATTGCCTTATGAAACCTGTGGGGGGGAAAAAAAAAATCTTCGTTTTATCAAGATAAAGATAAGGGTTGAGTTCTTAGTTCTGCTCCAGATACTGAGCTCTTGCTTCACTGAAGAAATCTAAATATCATCTTCATTTCTGGTTGGGTGGTGTAATGGAGAATAGCCTACAGCATATTACATAATGCTGCCAAACAGGAGACATGGGTGCATAATCGATCCTAAACACAAATAAATGGATCAGAAAGAGGCCTGCCACTGCCAGAGGTGCTGAATTGCTTCTCTGGAAGTTGCTGTGAAAATATGGCTTACAGATTCAAGATGAGGGAATAACAGAATGTTTTGTTAAAAGGAAAATCAGACTTGTGCTGAAAGTCCTCCCCATAAAGCTCACTCTTTAATTTCTGAACCAGTTGGTTTGGCTCACCTATACCATGATTGCATATGAAGCAACATTAAAGGGAATCATGTGGCTCTTCCCGTATGAGAGGATGACTGCATGGATGAGTTGGTTCACAAACTGCTGACAAAAAGCAGGCTGGTAATAGCTCTGCTGAGAAGAGAGAATACGTCTAATGAGGTTTTAGAGGTTACTCCCTCTCGTTAGACTGGACTTTCTCTAAAGACATCAGTAAGAGGTGATGGCAAGAACATCACGTGAACTTCTGAGTAGGAATGAAAGCTTAAAAAGCAGCTGGGACCTAGACATATCATTGTACAGAAGAAAACAGCACCTGTGTGCCCAGCTGGAAAAGAAATATTTCTGCAACAGGCTAAACAGCCTCAGTCCAGAGATGTTGGATTTTTCCTTAGGATGTCTCTTTACACCAGTAGCATTAAAATGGTGTGCTCATGTTTTCCTCCAAGATCTTTTCCCCAGGTTTACTACAGCAAAACAACTCAAATGATGAAATAAACAAGACTGAGGGAATACTCTCAGGGTGAGCAGTAATCCAGCCAATGCAAACACCTCTTTAGCAAGTTGCCAGCACATGTGGGTATCAGCACAACCGTATCAAGGCCACACTAGTTATTGGGCCAAGGAAAACCCAAACAAGTTTTGTCTGGAGCTGTAGTATATATTTTTTGCCTGGGCTGATAAAACATATATTGTTTCTATACATATATTTTTGAGGTAGGAGTCTTCCTTTTACTCTGGAATAACAGGGTCTGAGTTTGTACCGCAGCTATTAAAACAGGGTTCTTGTGCATTATTAGTGTTCCTAAGGGACAGTTCTCACAAGGATACAAATAATAAACAACATCAACTTTTCTGCTGAAACAGAATTTATTATCCACCTCTCTTTGTATTGCTCTGGCATTTCTCCCTGTTCCACATAATACAATCAACTGAATGAAGTGGCAGTGAATTACAGGAAGAGATGGTTCAGTGATGAATCAGTCACTGGTCTAACTACAAGAGAAACCGACACCCTTCCCATCAAAGAAATATGCTCACAGGATATACAGAACAGCTCCTGTAGGCAGGGACAGCTGATGGTTCCCATTTTCCAGTGACTTCTTTTGGATTGCTCCAAGGTCAGAACCTGTGTGAAAAAGAAAAAAAAATACCAGGATCCGTGGAAGAATAATATTTAAGCACGTACAATACGTATGGTCAGAAATCCAGGCTCTTCCATCTTAAAATGACACACATAATGCACAGAAGAGGTGGAACTCTCAAGTCTTGTAAAAAAGGCTTTGAAAAAGACACTAATGGAAACAAGGATGTTTTTGAACAGGAGTTATACTGCCTAATAATTGTGTGAATACAAATCACTCTGGGAAAAGCTGTAACACGTTCTCTATGAGGCCAGGTGTAGCAAACTGGTGAAGGATGAGGACAAAACTAATGAAAGAGAATTTAAGTATACAGCGACACTAATCCTTCTCTCGTTTAGCTCCTTAAGTCTATGGATAGCAAACTTTTAGCAACACTTTTAAAGGAGCTGAAAAGGAGCTACTCACTAAAACTCCCCGTATATAAAAAAATAAATCTCAGGACGGTGTTTTGCCCTCCTTACTAGAACTGGAATATTTTGAAGTGTTTGTCTCAGAGTAAGGAGGCATAATTTGGAGGAACCACAGCGGATTTTAATGTTTAATATATTTTCATCAAAGCACTTTCCTAACTCCGAGTTAATAGCTCCATAGCTTTTGCTAAACGTAGGCGTGACGGCATCTCACATTAGCACAACAGACAAGAATTTGGAGGCGGTTCAAGAATGGTCACCACGCAGGAACACGCCTCAACAGGGCCCCCAAAGCCCCGCCGGTGCCATTCCCCGAGTTCTGGTGCCGGGGCAGGAGGGGAGAACCCGGTGTCACTCTCTGAGTTTGGGTACCGGGACAGACACGGGGCGGGGGTGCTGTCAGCCCGCCAAGTTCGGGGAAAATATGGCCAAACACGGACTCGGCGGGACTTTCCCTCAGGCACTTTCCCTCAGCGGGAGGCGCGGAGCTCTGAGGGGAGGCGTTCCGCCATGACAGTTCGGGGGTCGCCTCGGCGGGGGAGGGATGGCGGGCGTTCCGTCCCGACAGTCGGGGGAAGGTTGAAGGGAGGTGTGTGTCTGTATCAGGGAGGGAGGGCGAAATTTCTGCCGCTCTGCGACCAAATAAGGGCAAATTCCCCAGAGCCGGGCTGAGCGCTCAGGAATTACAAACACCGCACGGAGCGAGCGGCCCCGAACCCACAACCCCCCACACCCCGCGGGT